CTGCTCCTGTTCGGCACAGAAGCTCACGGCGTTGCAACTCCGCGGCGTCTCGGGAGATTTTAGCAACAGAAGAGACCGACGAGCTCGAAGGAGTCCGGGACCTCCGACCCCGAGAGTTGTTGACCGAATCGTTAAGAAAGCGATCGACGGATCGAACATACGAGTCATCAGAAGTACGAGACCGATGACGATCGGAAACGGAATCAAAAGAACCGACGCTTGAAGACATAATCGGAAATAAGAAACAAACGAACCGGAAAAAAGGAGAGAGAACGGAGAGAATACCTTGAATTGGTGCGGAGGAAGAATGAGGAAAATGAGAAGGGGGAAGAGTATTTATAGAGGGAGTCGGTCTAAGAAAACCGCGTCATCATTACCTCGAAGAGCGATGTAATCATCACGCCTTCGCCGCCCACTACACGCAAGCAGTCCGATTCCCGATATCTCGAAAACAGCAGAAGGCGAACCAGAAGAAGCGTCTGTCACACGCGCCTCGGGAATGCACGATGGAATTCGAAGTTGAGAACGGCGAAATGATTACAACCCTAGCCGCGTCATCGCTACGCACTAGGGTTGGGGGGCTACTGTTGATGGTAGATTTTGGGCTCGGGCCCAAAAACCTTAGTCGGCCCGTCAACTTCTACGGCCCAAAAACCTGGGATACAGAAGCCCAGGGAAAGCCCAGGGAAAGCCCAGTAAACCCTTCTCCGCCGACCAAAGGGGGGAAAGAGGACATTTAGCACGGGTAGGGTACCCTACCTCTGCACATTATAAATAGAGAAGAAGAGTGATTGGAGGGAGGATCCCGAGATAACGACTTCAGCAGAGAATACAGTACAACCGTCAGAGAACTTTGCGGCTCGGCTCGTAAACTTAGAGATCAAGCTCGTCTATTTTTGTAATTGTCAAGCTCGTCATTTAACTAAGAGATTCTTCTTCCTTCCCTTGAGAATTCGTACTAGTGTGATTTTGGGCTTTCGAGATCATTTCCACTTGGGAATGAAACACATATGACAACAATTGTTGCTGGTACCCCGGGATATCTTGACCCCGAGTAAGCTTTACTCCCAACAAAAATATAACTAAAAATGTTTCTTCTTTCCCCATTTGAGAGAATTCCTATCTTTTTCTTTCAGATATAACCAAACAAATTGGTTGACTGAGAAGAGTGATGTCTACAGCTTTGGAATTGTGTTACTAGAAATCATCACAACCCAATCTGTGATTGATCAAAACCGTGAAAAGCCTCACATAGCAGAATGGGTTGGTTTTATGCTTACCAAAGGAGGTATTGAAAATATTGTGGATCCAAGTCTCACTGGAGATTATGACTCTAGTTCTATCTGGAAATTTCTTGAACTCGCAGTAGCATGTGTGAATCCTTCTTCTTTGGGAAGACCAAATATGTCTCACGTTGTTAATGAATTAAAAGAATGTCTTGTCTCTGAGAATTCAAGGAAAGGAGGTACAACAGAGGTGGAATCAAAGAGTTCTTTTGAACCGAGCATGCAATTTGCAGACGGGGTAACCCCTGTGCCGCGCTAACAACTTCTGAGCAGTTCCTTGAGCCAACGTTTGTAAATTGGATCAGATGATATGGGTCTTCTACATTGTCCTTCCGTGTTCTCTTTTCACAAACTATTTGAGTGAAGGAAATTCTACTATATTTTTCCTTATGCATGATTGAATTATCATACTTTACCATGTATGTAATAATTATTTGGTCTTAAAGATTTATAAATCTAAAAGGATGATGGCCAAAAACTTGAAGATAATACACATACCATATAATACTCATACACCATGATATCACTTTGTTGTTTAATTTATTATTTAAACCATTTCTTATCTGATAAAGGACTCATATATCTTTCCGTATTTTATTAAGTTCAGCATTACATATATATTTACATCAACCAGAATTCTGCAAAAACGGATAAACTAGGAGCATCTCCAATGAGAATATGCAAAGAAGAAACTCTCTATAAAAATAATGAAAAAAAAAAAAAAGTTGGAGAGAGAAGTGAAAAGGGGTTATTCTTTAAGAACTTTTGAGATACAAACAAGAATTGTTCTTAGGGTGAACAAAATATTTAACCATACAAGAAAAGATATTTGAAGATCTGGGAAGCGTAATCACGTAATAGCCAACCTCTCTGTATAAGGGCCACAAGAGCATGCGTGAGTGACAAACATATATTTTTAAAGCGGGAAAGAGAGGCTAAATTTAAAATTTTAATTGTAATTCATACTTAAACTTTTAATATTATAGCGACTTGGATCCCTTATCAAACAACGTACAAAAGATATTAGGTGATTTTTAAGACCACGTTTTTTTGTGCCACTTCAGACGTGCTCGCATCTTTTAGAGTTGGACATTTATATGGGAGAACTTTCCACAACCCTAACTGTTGGATATGTTCTAAATGCTAACTTTATACCAGTTTTGCCACTTTTATTGTTAAATCCTTTTAAACTCATTTTATTCGTTTTTCATATGTTTTTCCTTTCGGGCTGCTACATTTCAAGAGGTAGAGCGGACCATAACTCTATCATTTCTCTGAGATAGTTCATACATAAGAACCTTCCTTAGTAGCTTCATCTTCAAAATGGAAGGTTATCGAGGATTATTGTTGGCACTGATTGTCAACATTTTTTCCATTGTACACCTTGCTCATTGTCAGAATCCAGAAGGTAATATTTGGATCCATTGTAGACGTTATACATACAATTCTGTTTACATCATTTATCTTTCAGAAAATCCACATTTTATTCATATCTCAAATTTCTAATACTTTGGCTCTCTTCCTTGAGACTTGTCATGTCATCAATTTTGATTCCTTAAAACAAACAAACAAAAAAAACTCCACCTCATAGTTGTCATGTTGTATATTGTAACTTGGCAGGATTTATCAGCTTGGATTGTGGTTTACCCGCTAAAGAGTCTCCTTATACCGAAAAAACAACAGGATTGGTATTCTCCTCTGATGAAAATTTTATCTCAAGTGGAAAAAGTAGTAAAGTCCAAAAAGATGAAAGACAAGACTACAAGCCATATAATGTGTTAAGATATTTTCCTGATGGAGTACGACATTGCTATGATATAAATGTAAAGCAGGGAACTAATTATCTGGTTAGAGCTGTGTTCTTATATGGGAATTATGATGGTCATAATATTTTTCCCAGATTTGATCTGTATATAGGGCCAAATATATGGACAGTAGCAGTGGCAAACCAAGACATTGTAGAGGAAGAGATCATTTACATGACAAAGTCAAATTCTTTACAGATTTGTCTTGTCAAAACAGGACCAACTACACCTTTCATATCAAGCTTGGAGCTACGGCCTTTGAGAAATGATATTTATATTTCTCCATATGGTTCCTTGAAGCTCTTACACCGGGTGGGTATGGCGACTTTTGGCACTATACGGTAAGTCAACTGAATCTGTGACATTATTTAAATCTTCAGTAATATGGTTAATCCAAAGAATATGACAGGTATCCTGATGATGTCTATGATCGTTCATGGAATACATATGAGTCGGCCAACGCATTAGGAATAACGGCAGCTCCTAATGTGAATTCTTCTAATCAATATGAACTACCAGAAGTCATAATTACGTCGGCCGCTACCCCAACTTTTTCCAACTACTCTTTTCGAATTGATTATGGTGTATATAACCGTGATGACCAAGTCTTTATGTATCTGCATTTTGCTGAGATTCGAACACTAGAAGCCAACGATACCAGGGAATTCGACATTATATGGCCTGGAAACATTTCAACTCTGGCTTATAGACCTAAGAAGTTACAAATCGAAACCTTATTCAATGTCTTGCCGAATGAATGCGAGGGTGGATCTTGCATTGTGGAGCTAGTGAGAACTAAAAAGTCAACTCTTCCACCACTACTTAACGCTTATGAGGTTTACACGGTTATCGATCTTCAATACTCAGAAACATTTTCCGAAGATGGTATGTTCCCCAACCTAATGAGTATTATTTATTTTGACGTTGATTAAAATATCCCAATCCCTAGTGTCGTCCTACTCTTAAGGCACTACTATAAAGTTTCATATGTACGATGTTAATTCTATGCCAGTCATTGCTATCAACAATATCAAAGCTGCTTATCGGTTGAACATACTCAGTTGGCAAGGAGATCCTTGCCTCCCTCAAGAGTATAGGTGGGATTATATAGAATGCAACTATTCCAGAAAGTCCATTCCCCCAAGAATCATTTCTTTGTAAGATCACGCTCTCTAAATTAATAACCGTTTGCAGCTGAAACCCATGTATCTTAAAGTATCATCTATTTGTAAACAGATACTTATCAGACCGGGGATTAAAAGGGATCATAGCGCCTGCCTTTCAAAACTTAACCCAGCTTCAAAAACTGTAAGTGTCTCCTTCTTTAATAAGTGTAATTGAAAAGCCTTTTTGTCATAAGTAATTGCACCTGTTTTGTATGTTAAGTTTAACCATATTTTGTGGAATTTAGATATATGAGAACTTGGTTGAAAATTATTTAGCGGATAGTTCTGTATCTTTGCATCATGTCATACCTTTCCACGGACAAATTTCTTTTGCATATATATCGTATACATATACTATATAGTATATCAAGTTTTTTTTTTTTTGTGTGCAAAAAATATAAAGTTGTTATCATATGAATTGTAATTATTTTTAGGGACTTATCAAGTAACAGCTTAACTGGAGAAATACCGGAGTTTCTAGCCAACATGAAATCATTGTCGAACATGTAAGTCTTTTCCGGAAATAGATGACACTTATTTGCTTCGTGTTTTTTTTTTCAAGATTCGGCTATTTTGGTTACATATATGTGCTTTCTATCTGCCTCGACAGAAACTTAAGTTGGAACAATCTAAAAGGTCTGATTCTCCAAGCCCTTCTCGATAAACAAAAAAATGGGCTAAAGCTAAAGTAAGTTTCCCAATTTTCATGTTAGTCATGACCCTCCACACAATCATTAATTTCTACTCTCAAGTCTCTCAATATTTATCTTTGTATGTAGTATTCAAGGAAATAAAAAGCTATGTCTTGATGGTAAATGCAAAAGTAGCAAGCCAAAATTCCTTATGCCCATTGTTGCGTCGATCACTGCAATGCTCCTTATTGTAGTTGTGCTACTTCTATTTTTGGTTTACAAAAAGAAAAAGGCGTCGAAAGGTACTAATAAGTGATTTAGCAATACGTATATAACCGAGTTTAGTTAGTTTTTCTAATTTTTCGAATACAGTTCGTCACAGATCACCAATTACTAAATCAGAAATCTTAACCAAAAAGAGAAGGTTTACATATTCAGAAGTCGAAGCAGTGACAAATAACTTTGAAAGAGTTATAGGAGAAGGAGGGTTTGGAATTGTGTATCATGGTCATTTGAATGATACCGAACAAGTAGCTGTTAAAGTTCTCTCTCATTCATCAACTCAAGGCTATAAGCAATTCAAGGCAGAGGTACTTTTAGCTTTCTTTGGAACAAATCCAAACAGTATAATTTTAATTTTTTTTGCTTTCCAAACAAATTAAGCAAAAAACTTTGGTAATACACACCAATGGCCTATGAATTATGTGCTTTCATGGTTGATCAGGTAGAGCTGCTTTTAAGAGTGCACCATACAAATTTGGTAAATCTTGTTGGATATTGTAATGAAGATGACCACTTGGCCCTTGTCTATGAGTATGCAGCTAACGGGGACTTAAAGCAACATCTTTCAGGTATATATGTAATCAACCAAAATTGTTACTAAAAGAAAATGATCCCTTGTCAGATTTTGATGTTACCTACATATTTTCAATAACACTCAAAATCTTTAGAACAATTTGACATTAATTGGAAAGTACAGGAGAGTCTGGTTCCACTGATTTAAATTGGACAAGCAGACTTGGAATCGCTACCGAGACTGCACAAGGTATATGCTATTTTCAATGACTCCTCAAAATATATTATTTTTACTTTTTACTTTTATTTCAAGTGAAGATTGATAAATTACTTTTTGCTTCAAGTATAACACATGAATGGGTTATGATACAAACAGGTTTAGAGTACTTACACATTGGATGCGAACCCCCAATGATTCACAGAGATGTTAAAACGACAAATATACTTTTAGACGAGCATTTCCACGCGAAACTTGCTGATTTTGGACTTTCCAGATCTTTTCCAGTTGGAGTTGAATCTCATGTGTCGACAAATGTTGCTGGAACTCCTGGATATCTTGACCCTGAGTAAGTAAATTTATTTTCATACCAAAACTTTATTCCTTTCCCTATGGTGGTGATAGTTAACATGTGGCTTATTTTGCAGATATTATCGAACAAATTGGTTAACAGAAAAAAGTGATGTATACAGTATGGGGATTGTCCTGCTAGAGATAATCACAAACCAGCCTGTGATTCAACAAGTCCGTGAAAAGCCTCACATAGCAGAATGGGTGGGATTGATGCTTACTAAGGGAGATATTAAAAGCATTATGGATCCAAAGCTGAATGGGGACTATGACTCAAGTTCTGTTTGGAAGGCTCTTGAGCTAGCTATGTCATGCGTGAACCCCTCTTCCGGGGGAAGACCAACCATGTCTCAGGTTATAAGTGAACTTAAAGAATGTCTCATTTATGAGAACTCAAGAAAAGAAGGTCGATCAGAAGTAGACTCAAAAAGTTCCATTGAACTGAGCACCAGTTTCACCGCTGAAGTGACCCCTGATGCACGGTAATCTCTAAGAAGAATAATATATTTCATGTAATTATTTCTTGTATGAAATTTTTGAAAAACAAAAACTCAAATATCCATAGAATGTAAAAGGGTTAAATATTGACCAGAAGCTATTCTAAATACAACAGTTAAATTCCATCTAAAATTCTGTTTCATACCGAGATTTTTTGTCTAAAGGTTCTACGAAAACATAGGAACCAAAGACACAATCTCTATATTTTCATCTTTCTTCTTTGAAGTTGCTATTTAATTCTTGATATAT